TCACCAATCCAAATAGACATTGTTTATTTATTATTACCCTTACAAGCATAGTGAAGGCAAATAGTGTGATGGCAGTGAAGCGACGATTTAATATTACAGTCAACAAGTCGTCGTTGCTCCGCTGTCACTCCCCGTTTTCAATCTTCAATATTATCGTTGTTGCTGCCATCTAAAAGATAATAAAATAGGGAGAATTATAAGTGTGCCTTAGGGCTGCGGTGGCTGGGATACTAAGTGAATTATCACTGAAGTTTATTCATAAAATGCTAATTCTATATCGAGAGCTAGACATAATCTCTCATAAAATTCTTGATCTTATCTCGTAAACTTCAATAATTCTTCCCTCCGTATGCGCAGGACCTTTTTTAAGGTCATGGTGTCGTTAGCGCGATAGCTTTGATGAAGATGAGCAGATTTTCCATACTGGACGTACAAGAGTAATGTGGTTTGAGAGGACGAAGGTTATATATCCTTTTCATTAGAGCTTCCACTATAGGGTGTAAAAAATATCTGCAAATTCGAAGATTCTAGCAGGGAGCGATCGAACAAAATGATGAAAGAGCATTTCAAAATGTAATACTGCAACAAGAGTGGTGTAAGTTCTAAACATAGTGAGGGAAGAATTATTGAAGTTTATGAGATAAAATCAAGAATTTTATGAGAGATTATGTCTAGCTCTCGATATAGAATTAGCATTTTATGAATAAACTTCAGTGATAATTCACTTAGTATCCCAGCCACCGCAGCCCTAAGGCACACTTATAACTCTCCCTATTTTATTATCTTTTAGACGGCAGCAACAACGATAATACTGAACGTTGAAAACGGGGAGTGACAGCGGAGCAACGACGATTTTAGTAATGGTTGGGAGCAGAAGAACCTGAAAAATATTGGTTTGAATAGACTTCTTATGGAAACGAGCAAAATAAAGAAATAAGTCAACGATCATTTGTGTTTAGTTTTTCCATTTCATCAAATGAAGGAATGACCAGGATGACTGTTTTTTCTCTCTGAATGGCTGACTATAACTATAGTTACCGAGCTAAATGGAAGAAATACTAAGTGAATTATTACTAAAGTTTATTCATAATTCTAATTTCATATCGAGAGCTATATATACTGTCTCATAAAATCCTTAATTTAAATATCAAAATCATTTACCATAGTAAGTTACGAGCATTTTTCTAGAAATCCTCAAACACACTAATGAATACCATTGACTTATTATAATGGAAAAGTTTCACTGAAACGCGTGAAAATAGAAACGTATCTAACTACCTATATGATTAAGCTAATTAAAAATCTTTTTATACTATAACTTTTCTTTTTTTCCTGATATTAACTTATCGAGACTAGAGTATGGTGCTTAAGCACTATTGTCTAGCAGTAGTATCTTTTCCCCTGAATGCAGACGACTCTCATCTCATTGCAAAAGGTGCAATTCATTGTCTATTAACCCTTTGAGTACCATTTCTCGACCATGATAGCTACAGGCTTCTAATTTTGTGTGGTCATAGCTTTTATTGAATGCTGATGATCCACCAAGCTTGGGCCTCTTTTACTAGATGGTTCGTGAGATGTAAGCGTTTCATTTCTTTTCCATAAAATGCTAATAACTCTCGATCCAAGAGAGATGAAAACTTTTCCTTTCTACCAAAATGCAGCACTCCTCTCCTCTATCTATGACATGAATTTGAAGTGTTAGTTCTCAATAGTTACTGAAATACAGCTATTTTACGATCGAGGGTCACTTTTGAGACCCTCTTCCAAAAATATTCATAACTCAGCCAAGGAATATTACTTTTACTTCAAAATTGCACCAGATACTCTAAAATGTCTTTACATTATTCACACAAAGTATGAGAGTTAACTATTGTATGATTCGAGATATTCATTGAAAATGAGCATCCGCTATTGAAACATACATAGGCAGGAAAGGGTGAGGAACCAAAGGTCGTCCATTCTACCATATCTTCTGTGGTTAATGTTTGTCATAATCGTGTAAAAATATAGTAATGAAAAATTGGGAAGAAAATATCCATAGATTAATATTGTCAAGAAGACGTTGCACTCAGCCTAACCCACGTTTATTTCATTTATTTTCCGTCTTTTGTACTTCCCTTATACTTGCAAGCAAAATTAATAACATACTAGAGATCAGCAGACAAAACTGCATCATCGCATCTCGATATCTTTTTGCGGTCGCAAGTGATTCGGAAATCAAGAAACTTAAAAAAAGCATCCTGAATTCGAGACGCTGGTAAACGAAGGATTAAATACCCATTAATTATCCATCCAGTATCTGTTAAATGGACATTTCGTAGGTCATTGTGACGATCTTTTGACCATTTTTCGACATTTAAATGAGAACGTTTTAATGGCACTTTTATTATAATAAATTTTAACGATTTACGATTGTATGATATCATAAGACTTTAAGAATTAGTAAAAAATTATTTGCTATTCGATGCATGGATTTATTCTAACCAGTTTCTAAATAACAAAAATCGTCAAATACAATAAACTACTAGGGTTTTATAACACGCAACTTGATAACGAGCGATCTATGTAGTAGTAATACTCAAGTTCTCATTATCAATCAAACTCCTGATTCCAATTAAGATGATTTTTTGTTCAGTTAAATCCGAATTGTCAGAAGGAAACTGCTTCTACAAGTTTTTAGTTAATTAACTTATTGATCATGAAACATTGTATGGTGGGTGCTTGAAAACAAAATTCATATATAGAATATAGAAATCACGAACAATAAAAAATCCAAAACAAAAACCAACAAACAAACAATTTTTTTCTGATTATCAAATAATGTCAAAAAAAGAAAGAATAAGCATGTAGAATACAGAAAAAAATGCTGAGAAAAACATATTATACGCTTCGAAAACATAAAATAAATACAACAACAACATATGACGCAAATAATAACAACAATAAACAAGATACGTTATTTTCCTCCTCACCGGTGAAATAGCAGGTAGACTGGCACAGCAAGTGAAAACTAGTGCATCATCTAACATCGTTAGCAATATCATTCGACGTTTGAACTGGCTGTATAACAATGTCGGACGATGATGATGAATCTGTATTGGATTCGCTTAATGGAAGAGAATTAGTAGAAATGGTCGTAGATGAAGATAGAGGAATCATCGTGGGTGTCGTATGATTAGTAGGAGATACGGGTGACGTCTTTTTGATTTTTTTCGATTTTTTAGATGATGTCGAAGATGAAGGCGATAGAGGCTCCTGTTTCGGACTTGTGTTTGTAACTGTAGGAGGTGAAAAACGTTCGATTTTTGTGGTTAATTTTGGTGATGATACGGCACCGTTCGTCTTCGGTTCATCTTTAATCAATGCAGCTGCTTTCATATATGCTAAACGTTCACGTTCATAATTTTCTTGATATAGCCGTGACGTTTCTGGGGAAGAGAATGATGGAAGAGATGCACCACGAGGTGTTGTCGTCGTTGGTGGCTGGCCCGATGAAGCGGCGAGTGACAGAAAATGTTCGCGCTGTTGTAAAAATGTTTCATTTAAACGTGCGTCAAATAAATTTCGATAAGCTTCGGCAGCTGCCATAGCTGCAGCAGCTGCCTGAGGACTTCGATCAGGTCCTCCCATACCTGGCCAAAATCCTGCACCACCATAAGGTGATCGTTCATTCATCGATGGTGGTGTTAAAAACGGATTTGAAAAAAGTGATGCGTAGGCAGCTGAAACACGTTGTCGTTCTAATATCGATAACATTAACGGGTCCAGTCCTAATGGATTTAACGAGGGTGGCAACGATGGTGGAAGTAGTTGTTTATCGGTGCCTGTTCTCGATGGTGTCGTACTAATCGATTCGGACTTTACACTAGGTGAATTTCGTTGTTTTTTATTAGATGACGTTAATGGTGATTCGGATAAATTTGCCGTTAAAGGTGACGGTGCTGTTTTGAGTTGATCTTTGTGATTTTGATTATGATGTGGAGAACGAGAGCGTGATCGATTTGTAGACGATGTTGAATTGTTCGTTAAATGTGATGGTAAATAAGATAAATGTGGATGATGTAAACGATCTGCGACGGCACGTTCACGTACATCAATACGATCAGATGTAGAATTATTCATAGATAAACGATTTGCACGTTCACGCTCTAATAGTGTACGATCGCGGTCATCTTCTTGACGTTTTCTAAAGTACAAAAGGAATTTAAACTTAAAACTCTTCGTTGCCATCGTCTATCATTACATAAGAAGTTAAAAGACTCTAGATGATTTACCTTTCTTCTTCCATTTTCTTTGCTAACATAGATGTTGGATCCATTAGATCAGGTGGTTTATTTGAATACGGTGGCATCAACGGTCCTAAACCGCGGTGATAACGCGTCCAGTCGAGTCCAAGTGACGGTCCTGCAGCCATTGAGTTATCTTTTCTATCAGGAAATAGTGATCCAAGGCCCCCAAATGCATTCGGACCGCCTGTTCGACCGGGAAATGGGACACTTAGAGAATTTGGAGGCGGAAAAACACCGTTCGGTAATGCAGAAAAATCGAACGGGCGATAATCTAAAGCACAAAAGTAAAAAATCAACAAACACGTTTTTTACTAATATTTGCGCGAGTGTCATGGACATTCTTCCACGTGTACTAACGCGATGTTTTTCCCAATTTTGTGTATCTAATGCAGGTAATTTTTCAGTATGTGATAGGCCTAACACGCTCTGAAAGTTTGCTCTAAACGTTTCTCAGCAGAGAACATTTGTCCTTTTGCATGCTTACTGAATAGAGATGTTGCGGCTGACGAAGGCAACGGCGGTGGTAATGTTTGATACGGAGATAAAGACGATGAATTGTGTTGTTCATTTTTTGTTGTTGATGATAATAAATCTGGTAGTAATGAGGTATTTTTAACTGTGTTATCGTCTTTATCAGAGGATTTTGTACGTTGCTGATGTTTGTAAATGAGCCAAGATATGCGAACATGTGCAGCGCACCATTTTCCTGGCTTCTAAAAACCAAAATAGTGTGAAACTTTGACCAGCACATAGCGGTCTTGAATAAATACTTTGGAAATAGAAGAAGACGTTGGAGAAGATAAATCTTTTGATGATGATGAGCCTGTTGATCCTAAACTAGGACTACCATTACTGTTATTATTGAAGCCGAATGGCGTTAGAATACTTGGAAATGTTGTTAACGTCGGAGTCATTGACGATGAAGATGATAGCTAAACGTAGACAAGAGAATACATAAATTGATCGTGTACAAATTTATACGATTGGAAAAATTTTGTAATTTTATATTTACGCTGGTTCGAAGAAATGGAGATAATCCATCTGGTTTTGATAACTTATCGAGTAATGGATTAATATTTGATGTTGACGTTGTGATGGCGGCTGATGTCGTTGTGCTAGTCGATGATGGTGTAAGGATGTTTAAATTATGTTCATGAGTATGTGTGTGTTGGTGATAATGTTCAGCACGAAGATACGGTGATGAGCCAACTAGTAACGATGTTTGAGGATCATTGCAAGCGGCGGCAGTAGCCGCAGCACGTTGGATATTAATGTCGTGTAAATAGCGTGCATTTAATTCTCGTAGTAAATCAGGATCTACAGAAAAATCTTTAACAAGATAACAATTGATAGATGTTTTATATAAGAAAAAGCATGTGAACGTACTCGGTGCATGTTTCTTTGACGAGGATGATGTGGCTGATAATTTACTATTACGATAAGTTGAATCTTCTACAAAAGAAAGAAATGTTTTTTTGAACGAAATACCAGTACAATGAAGGAAAAGTTTAATATAACCAGCTGATCTTTCGTAACTTTGACATCGCCCTATATGTCCTCGATCATCAGACCGCTATACATTATTAAATATGTTACGTACTAAAATTAGGTAATGTTGAGTCTAAACTTAATGGAATAAGACTAGGTGTCGGTAGAGTTGAACCAAGTTGTGGTGGAGCAAACATTATATCATACTAAAATAGAAAGTATTAGATCGAATTTTTTTCTTTATTTATAGACGATACTTACTCAATTATATTTATTTTTGATGTTGAATAGAAAAAAAATGATTTCATATGTGTGTTGTCAATAATAAATAATTGTCGATAATAATCTAGAAATAGGAAAAAAAAAGGAGAGTAATATTTCATTTGAACCAAATGAAAAAAAACAACATATATATATACACACACACACACACACAAGTATCATTTCAATAGTATATTATTGATAAAAATCAATGTCTTTTATATGAATAAAAGGCTGTATCATTTCGATAGATTCACATCATCAAAAATCATTATTATCATTACTCATGTTTTTGATATACGACAGATAGAGATGAATATAAATTGAATATCCATAACAGTTTTTCAGTTCATACGTTTGAGATAACTACAATAATCTAGTATCATTTAAAACTATAGTTTGTTTTAACATTTTAGTATTTTTACAATTTATTATACTTGATAAAATAAACTATCAAATTTTTGTTTTCTTTAGAATGTTTTCTATTATGATGATAAAAAAAAAGTAAAAAATAAAACCATCAAATGCGGAACTTAATATTTTATTTCTTAATACAAAGTGATACTATGAACAATTTTTATGCTTGAAACATCAAGTGCATTTACTAAAATGACTAGTGTAATGTTGAGGTGTGTCATATTACTGATTTTTCAAAATCACATAATTTATAGTTGTTAAATTTTGATTTACCTTACAGACATTCTCTTATTTCATTTTTCTATTTATTTGAGTGCGAGGCACATGTACCATGTACATAATCGTTTTTTATATGCTCTCAGGTATTGTGTGTGTATGTTGTTTAGCAGCAATTTTTTTTTCTTTTTTCTTCATTCTATACCATAACGAAAGGTTCAAGTATTTCTGCTTATTTTATACGTCTTCTTGACATATACAAGTGCCACTTCTTTTCCGATCTTTAATATTTTTATTATAGATTGTGTATAGTGAGTGAAGTTGAGCAGCACTTGAAAAACATATTATAAATGATTAAAAACACACGATGAAGAAGAAGAGTGAGGGGACATTTTGTGTATGCAATAAATATACGATATTCATAAAGAGAAGAAAACGAAAGAAACTCCATACACTTGAACAACAATGAGAAAAGTAATTGAAAGTGTAAAAATTTTCTTTACATATATCTTAGCTCATACCTATTTCTTGCACGATTCTATCGAGTGGATAATTTACAGAGAAAAATTATTATATAAATAAATGTATAATTAACACGACGCTATATGGATGATAGCACACACTAAGATTACCTTAAGTCATAGAAACTAGCCTTACAATCAAGGAAATTCACTTATCAATCAAAGATTTCTAATCAGTTAGTCAATCTCTATTTAGAGACTGAAAAGTAACGTACACATATTTCTTGTCTTTGTCATATTCTCTAGTCGATTCGACACATACATGGTTGTAGTTTAAATTGATTGATGTTTACCTGGAATAAACAGGTGTTGTTGTCTTTAAATCAGATAGACATACATTTTTTTACGTATATTTAATAAACTATGCACATACTACGCATGTCACGAGTCTATCTCACTATATTATTTATTACCTTATCATTTTCTTCCATCTAATATGTACATATAATCATATACTGTCAATAACTGATTACTTAAATGGCTTAAACTGCGTGACAAGAAAAGAAAATAAAGAGAGAAAAGAAAGCATACGTGTATATCACCTTTTTCTTCTATAACATCGACATGTGTATTAACAACTACTAGACTCTACTACGTACAGTATCTATCCTCTTTCTAATAAAACAAAAATCTATACAAAACACACAAGATGAGAGAAAGAGAAAATATAGTATCCCACCGTGTATGTAATGATATCAGATCAATACCAACTTGTCTATAAACTGGCGATGCAGCGCGTACAAAAAAAGAATGTGTGAAATTTATTGTAAATTAGACATCTGTTTTTTTTTTTTGACAAAACAATATAAGAATCGTACATTCACAAACAAATCAATTAAAGGCCTCTCTATTAATGTCGGAATAATGGTTTCGAATCGATATAATCACCACACCAACAAGATAAGAAACAAAAGTGTAGATCTGTAAACAAGTACAAAATAAACCAATCACATGTACATACATACACAACGTCAACTACGTTAAGAGTAAATGTTTAAAAATCTCTTTTAAGAGTTATATAAAAAATAAATGACGTTTTTAGTCTATTAACACTCATCATTCATTTAGTTTTCCTTCTAACAATTTAATAGAAGCAAAAAGATGCTTATATTTTTACAGGTTTTCAAACATACTAAAATTAAAAACGAAAAAGATTCTAAGATAAGACCACACTGTATTATTCTCAAGAGTTGTGGTATGATTTCGAACGATATATAGGAAAAAGAGTTTGAACATGAAAAAATCTTCTTGAATAAGGAAATATGCGTTTTTGAACAGTTTTTCCTTTTACCTTATTAGGCGCTGTTCGTTCTTATTGTTCTCTCAGTTGCTGGTTCCTTTTTATAGATAAGTACATGAATAATAAATGTCGTCTCGAACTATCGCCGACTTCTTGTTCTTCGTCTCCTCAACAGAATGTATCGTAGAGTAGAGAAAGTAATAGACTGTGTAATACATTGGGATATGTGCATTCTTTTCTTTCTTTTCTTTCGAAGAAAAAAGAAAAAAGAAAGCAAATCATCATAAAATGTATAGGGAGTTGAGAAAAGAAGGCCTCTATTGAGAAGCACACATATACATATATACAAATACAACGAATTCTTGACACTCTAGTCGATTCATAAATCATGAAAATCAATTACAAATCTAATCTTGTTCTAATGAGCTGAGAACATCAAACACACACACACAGAAACCAACATTATGATGGTAGTGTAGAAATAAAAAGAAAAAAAAGAAGAGAAAGTCTATCTCTCTCTCTCTACATATATATACAAACATCTCGTCTAACAAATTAATAATCACGCTATGTGTATTAATGATAGAAAAACTCCTAGAGAGATGTGGAAAAGAAAAAGCTGTGAATGGTTCATGTTTTCTATCGAACAATAAGAAGAAAAGGCTAATTCAACTAAACAGCTTGAAATAATGCACCCACAAGTTGTGCAATCGAATGAAAATAAATGAAAATTTGTTGCTCTCTCACAGGAAAACTATTACAGAATTATATAAAGGAAGAAATGAATTATGCTAATAAAATAAAAGAGAATGCGATTATAATAATAAATACAGTTAGAAAAACTTTCGGACTTCGTGATGAAGGTCATTCTAAAGCATCGACTTCTTTCATATATTTCTTTATCAAAATTTGAATTTCTTAGTTTTTCACTTTGATTTAAAACGTACTTTTAACTGTTTATATCACCGGTCGAGTCTGATTTAAAGTTGAACTTATTCCTTTGCAAAAAAAGTTAGAGATCTATTTAAGAATGTGTTGTACAAATCTGAAATTTACTTTCTGCTTTGAAGATGTCGTCCATAAGAAGGGCGCGTACATTTTTACTATACTTACTGTTTTACATTGCAAATAGACTCTCGTAACTATTAACATTTTACCGTGCGTCAATAAATTTAGTCCTATTATGATTAGAAAGCTGATTGTAATGTGTAGCGGATAAGTGTACTACAAATTATTTACAGCCAGCGCCAAACACACACATCTCAGGTTTCAGTTGTGATGTTTTAATGACGAAATATGAATCCAAATAAACACGTAGACACTCTATATGAGGGCTTCTCTGGATGTCTATTTGATCTGCAATTACTCTATGAAAAATGAAGCAGAAAGAAACACAAACAATCAATGACATGTTCCAATAGCAATAATTGCGTATCAGTTAGTCACAATGTTTATATACATATATGATGCTCATTGTTTATCAAAAATAACAATTCAAACATGTTAACAAATATAATTTTGAACTTATAAGGAGACAGAACTATTACCTCATAATTTGTTATAAATTTAGCAATTTTATTTTTAAAATTTAAACAGGTGATATAGTTGTCTAATTACATACTCAACTATAATTTGAGGTTAACCTAAACTATTAAAATTATTAGATGGCATACACTTAACATGAAATAGTCCATATGTTGCAAAATTAAATCGATATTCTAATAATACATATTTTCTCTTCTCTTTTGTGTTCTGTTTTTTAAATAAATGGAACAATGTATATATGCCCGACAATCGTGCAAACATTAATCGGTATGTCAATAATGCGGCATATACAAAGAAGCTACATGTCGTATAAAATATTAATTGGTCATTTTCATCACCTGTTCGACAAAGTTGTCGTTGTTCTAATAATAATCGTGTGCTTGACCTAATGTATATATAATTGCTGCATACATACACTGTTTCTTTCTATTCGAACATATATATACACACACACAAAAGAAGAATTGTATATGTGTATCAACTGGTATGAATGTATGTGTGGATTTTGACTACTACTTTGATACCTTCGGATCAATGTAAAATATATTTAAAAAAAATATTATATGTTTGCTTTGTCGGGTAAATTATGTAGACTTAAAGAAGAATAGAAGAAAAAAAAAACGAAGTTTATAATGTCACTTGACTAAATCTAATCGACAAGAAAAAGAAAATTACGGATAGGCTTTATTATTATTACTACTTAGAAAGAGAGTGATTTGTAAAATAACCTTCAGTGTCAACTTGGAGAAGATATAAAGTACAGAGACTCATTTTTAAGATTAGTGTCATTTTCCTCATCTTATTTTTAAAAAAATCTTCCGTTTCTTATTTTAATATAGTTCCTCTAATAATAATGATAATCTAGCAACATGCCTCATTCACAATATATATTCTCATGAGACATTACGTACACTCACATACATAAATGATTGACGACGGCCTTTTTTCTCTGTGAATGAATAATTGACTGTTCAAACCGTCAATCTGTGAGTTTTTTTTTCTTCTTTTGTAACAATATCGATATTAAGTACAAAAACTAAAGAGAAGATAATAGTAATCGTGAATGATTTTATCTAGATGAAAAATTAATTTATAATATCATATCAACATTCATCGAATCATCTTATTAACCAATGAACCATATTCGATCAGCGGAAGATACGTTAAATGACCTACCTATAGCTTCATCAACAAGATGGAAAAAACACACAGAAATTTTTGGGCTAAAATCTACGAATTTTTTTTTTATAGAAATTGGAGATGAGAGAAAAAAACCAACTTAACGTTTGCGAACTTATTTATTAGAAATTGGAGATCCGAAGGAATTTTTTGAATCGCTTATATATAATGAGCTTTTTCATCTGAAAATCAGTACTAAAATAAAAAATTACTTGTTCTATGTCGATACTACCTTAGTAGATAATATGCCGATAGAAGAACAGGATCGATACCATCTTTTCTAGTATGTTTAGCGAGAGTTTAGCAACTGTAACTAAAAACATTCTTCGATATAAGATTTGACATAAACGCAAATTATTTGTATGAGATCAACAGTAAATATTTATGTAAAATGTAAATGCTTTTGATTCATCAACAGTAACTACAGGAAAAGATCAGTGAGATTGTAAAACATAACGATGTGAAACAAAAACGACAATATATATGATTCTCGTTCTTCTACATGTTTTTTTTCCATGTTCTTTTCTCTTCGTGAACATACATGAACTCAAACACCTTAAGGGAACTACTATTGTAGCGTTTTATGGCCGCCTGTTAATTGTAGAGAAGTTAGAAGTACTAAATTCAAAGTA